TTTGACTTTTATGAACATACGCAAAATCTATAAAAGGGGACTTTCTGATACTTTTTTTTTCGTATTGAAAATGGGCAATATCGGTAACGTTTTCGGATAGCGCCCATGCAAGTGGACCCCCGACAAACAACTTTAATGGGCATATCTGTTTCAAAAGTACGAGTATAGCGATGAAATTCGACATAAATAAGTTTCATATGATCCAAAATCTCCCTACCAAATTTTATGAGGACCCTACCCCCCATATAAGGCCAACTTCAGAAAATTTGTTTAACGCTCATTACTGGCTTAAAAATACTAGTATAACAATAAAATTTGACATAAGTAAGTCTCTTATGTCAAATTTTATGTTGATCGGTCCATAATTGACCCTACCCTCTATATAAGGTCCCCTTCAGAATATGACTTTAACGCTCATTACTAGCTTAAAAATACGAGTATAGTGATGAAATTCGACACACATAAGTTTCAATGAAGCCAAAATCTCTCTATCAAACTTTATGTGGATCGGTCCATAATTGTCCCTGCTCCCTACCCTACTCCCCATATAAGGTGCCTGGCTTAAAAATACAGAATACAGAAAAGTGATGAAATTCGACACACATATTTTTTATACGAGTTAAAACCTCTCTACCAAATGCATTGAGGATCGGTCCATAAGAAAATTACTTTAACGATCTTTGCAGTCTTAAAAATACGTGAACAGTTATGAAATTTTATATAAGAAACATTTATAGGAACGTAAATCTTCCTACCGAATTTCATGCGGAAAGGGTCGGGAAGTGATATTCGATGTAAAGATGTTTTGAATGAACCAAAATTGGTCTAAAAAATTTTTATGAAAACCGGTCAATTTTTAACCCTATCTCTCATACAAAGTCCACTTCAGTTAATTTGATGAGTAATATCACCCTGATGTTTATAGGGGAGCATTCCTTTTAAGGCATACGGTTTAATGGTGGGTATATGAGATTCGGCACAGCCGAATAATTTTTTGTTATAATTTTTTTGTACTGGCTATTCTATTTAACACATCATGGTGAAGGGTATATAAGATTCGGCACAGCCGAATATAGAGCTCTTACTTGTTTGTTTTTAACAACAAACATTTTCCAAGAAAAGGAGCGCATAACAGGCCTGATAGTAGCCTAAGTGGATTTGATGTAGATACTGCAGATCCTCCTATCAGCATAACCTAACCTTATTTCGATTATTCAGGTATTCCAATACGAAATTCGCCAAAAGCTCACCTCAAGCCAGGTAATTGGTTAGAATCATCAAATGATTGTGTACTTCAATGGGAACCACAATCTCCCAACCTAAAACGCATTTGATTAACATGGATCAATGTAGCTCAGTTTATTTAAGGAGATAGAGACTAAAAAGTACGACATCACAAACTAACAAAATGGCTCCTATGCCATCCAGATGAATTTCAAATCAATTCTGTCAGACATGCTTAGACTAGTCTAATCAATAGATAAGTCCATATAGACTACTGCATAGTCCATTCAATAGACTACCCATGGACTGCTGAATGTAATCTATATATATATATAAAATTCTAACGTTACTTACTCACTGACTGACTGACTGATTCATCATCGCAAAGCCTAAACGGTTGAAGCTAAAGAGCAGAAATATGGACAGGAGACTGGTCTCCCAACAAAAAGATCCACTAAGACGGGATTTTTGGAAATTCGAATGTTTAGGGGGTAAAAACGGGTAAATTCGGTAACCTCATATCTCCTAAACTAGAAAAGATACAGTTTAAAGCTTATTGTCGTTCATTTAAAAAATAAGCGGACAGGTGTCTGTATAAACATTTTTCAAATTCGGCCCCTTTAGGGAATAAACGGGTAAAAACTCTATTTTGGTACTTTTTTTGCACCCCATGTATCTTTTAAACCAGAGTACATTCAAAAAATATTTTTAACTCCTTCATAACTTGACGAAAAAATAAAAATATGAATTTAGTACTTTTTTGATTTCGGACGTTCAAGGGGTGAAAATTGTACCTATTTTTGGTACTTTTTGCATAAAACATTGTTTCCTATGTATTGATTTGTATTAACATGTGTATGAATACTTAATGATGGGCTCCTACTACGGTATTACAACTTTTTATAATAAACTGTTTATCACTTCAATACGGAGAAAAAAGTACTAAAAGGGTGAAAACGGGAAATTTGATTTTATTCAAACTCACTGACCCAATTTTAACTAAATATACCAATGGGGTGTTACTTGGAACTCCGGTACAAAGGACAATTTTTTTGGTACTTTTTGTGTTTTTATACCCTACACCACTTTAGTGGGGAGGGTATATTGGGTTTGTGCTGATGTTTGTAACGCACAATAATATTGGTCCTATACCCACCTTAAAGTATACCAATCGGCTCAGAATCATTTTCTGAGTCGATTTAGCTATGTCCGTCCGTCTGTCCGTCGGTCTGTCCGTCGGTCTGTCCGTCTGTCCGTCCATCCGTCCATGTAAACCTTGTAATCAAACTACAGGTCGCAATTTTGAAGATAATTCAATGAAATTTGGTACATGATCTTCTATTGTCCCAGGGACGAAGCCTATTGAAAATGGTTAAGATCGGTCCATTATTTCACCTAGTCCATTATTTCAACTGAACCCCTAGAATAGGGCTTTTAAAACTTGTAATCAAACTACAGGTCGCAATTTTGGAGATAATTCAATGAAATTTGGCACATGATCTTTTATGGTACCGTAGATGAAGCCTGTTGAAAATGGTTTGCATCGGTCCATTATTTCACCTAGCCCCCATACAACTGAACCCCTCGAATAGGGCTTTTAAAATTTGTAATCAAACTACAGGTCGCAATTTTGGAGATAATTCAATGAAATTTGGCACATGATATTTTATGGTACCGTAGATGAAGTCTGTTGAAAATGGTTTACATCGGTCCATTATTTCACCTAGCCCCCATACAACTGAACACGCCGAATAGGGCTTTTAAGTTCATAATTATGTTTAATATACTCATATCTCGACAAAAGTTGTATACAAGACTTGATGACCTCCACGAATTCCATAATAATAGGTTCTCATATGACCCTATGAAAAGCCCCCATCAAAATTTCACTTAAATGTCCACAATTTTATTCATAAACGGCTTAAGTATGTATATCTAAGGCAAGGTACAATTCAACTTAAATGCTTTATTATGTCAACTAAATCACATTATATTTTTGTCAAAGGTGTAGTCGGCCTCGCCCGACTATAATTTTTTACTTGTTTATAATATGATCCTATCATATGATCCTAGAAATATGATATTAAGCATGTGGAGCCCGGTTAATGAGATTCTATTAAAAGGGAGTTTTTCATACTTTTTCGTTCTTTAAAAAGTAATTTTTGAATTTTCTATAACATTGAACCTAGGAACATGAAATTAAGAGACAATGAGAATCTATGAAATGACACTTTTTGGTACTTTTTCGTTCTTCAAAAGGTTCTTTTTGAATTTTCTATAATATTGAACCTAGAAACACGAAATTAAGCATGTAAAGACCGAAGTAAATGAGAACCCATAAAAGGGGACTTTTTGGTACTTGTTCGTTCTTTAACTGGTACTTTTTCAGTTTTCTATAATATTGAACCTAGAAACATGAAATTAAGCATGTAGAGCCCGTAGTAAATGAGAACCTATAAAAGAGGACTTTTTGGTACTTTTTCGATCTTCAAAAGGTACTTTTTGAGTTTTCTATAATATTGAACATGAAAACATAAAATTATACATGTAGAGCCCGGAGTAAATTAAAGCCTATAAACGGGAAATTTTTGGTACTTTTTTGTTCTTCAATGGGTGCTTTTTGAATTTTCTATAATATTGAACCTAGAGACATAAAATTAGGCATTTAGAGCTCGGAGTAAATAGGAACCTATAAAAGAGAACCCTTTGATATTTTTTCATTCTTCAACTGGTACTTTTTGAGTTTTCAATTAGAAATATAGAAACTCAAAACTAAGCATTCGGGGACTTATATGAATGAAAATCTAAAATAGAGTATTTTCTGGTACTTTTTCGTTCTTCAACTGGTACTTTTTGAATTTTCGATAATATTGAACTTAGAAACGTGAAATTAAATAGAAGATGTCTTTTGTTATGTCTTCGAACTTCAACTGTAACTTTCTGAGATTTCTAAAAGATTGAATATATGTATAAACATAAAATGAAACACGTGACCTGTTAGAACGAAAATATATAAAACGAGACTTTCTGGTACTTTTTTTTTAATAATACTTATTGCATTTTCTATAATATTGAACCTAAAAACATAAAATTGGACACGATGCTTCCTGAGTGTATAAAAATGTGTATGAGAGGAACTTTTGGTTGAAAATTTGACATGCACCATCCTTATTCAAATCTAAAAAAGAGAGTTTTTGTTACATTTTCGTTCTCCAACTGATATTTTTTAGAATCAATTATTATTGATTGAAACTCTATGAAAAATTGAACCTAGGAACCTGTATGAAAATCTATAAAAGGGGACTTTTTGATATGCAGATATACATAAATTTATATTGGACTGACTGAAAATTTACAATAATATTTATTTTATTTCATTACGATGAGGGTAGCGAAGCACACTGGGTATAGCTAGTAAGAAATAAAATAATACACAGACTAGTAGTCCGTTTAATTGTCCATACAATACTCAATAAACTACGGCTTAATTCATAGACTAGTCAATAATATATAATATTGATTAATATATAGACTAGTCTATACGTTAGTTAGTCCATAGATAAAGCAAATTGGCAAATTTTATTCCATAAAACCAGCCTAATTTTTACTACACCTAGGTCTTCTCCGAACATTTCTCATTTGGCGCAAATTGTATGTATGAGTTAGAGATAAAGAGAGTAAAATGACTCTTTAGATTATAAATAAGAAAAACTAGTCACTAGATTCAATGTTGAAATCAAACAAAAACAATCGCCAGTTTCATCATGTATTAAATAAGCCTCAGTTGTAGTTTAGCTCAAGTACAGTTTGGATCTGAAACTAAGCGAGCAAATACTTAAAAGCTATAGCAATTGTTTTCTTAAGTAGTTATGTACTGATAAATAAAAAATCGAATTTTATTAATAGAAATCTCATTTGTGTAGATTATTATTATTCTACACAAATTCGGAAAAAAATATTAAAAAACTTTGTTTAAATATTTTTATTAATCTTAAATAAAACTAAATCATGGAACGAACAATAAGTTTTTCATTACTATTTTTAAAAATTTTAATATTTGTAAAGGCGAGCGGGTAAGTGCTTTATTAATTTGAATACCTTAAAATAATAGAAATCTCATCGAAGTCTCTCCGTCTATAGCTTAAGTACATCAAATCAGAATTCTCGACCTACAAACTAAATTTTCCCACCAGATTTTATTCCAATATTTATATAAATTTTCTCTTTCAGTTTCTACTCAATTATAGCTCCTGGCACCATACAGCCTCACTATAACTATTCAGTCATTGTAACTCTACATCAAAATTCTGAACCAGCAACAATTAAAGTGGGAATAAAAGGACCATCATATAGTGAAGAAAAAACCATTTATATTGCACCATCCCATACAAAAGTCGTAAACTTCGAAATACCTAAATTACAAACAGGAACATATCATTTAGAATCGGAAGGCATTAAAGGATTAATTTTCAAAAATTGCACTATATTGAATTTTAAAAATAAAGAACCTAAAACTTATATACAAACGGACAAAGCGGTTTACAAGCCCGGTGATTTAGTACAATTTCGTATTATTGTATTAGATGAAAATACAAGACCTGCCCAATTAGAAGAACCTCTAAATTTGGATTTTAAAGATGGTGCCGGCAATTTTGTAAAACAAATCAAAGATGTCAAATTAATCAAAGGTGTTTATAGCGGAGAATTTCAATTATCTGATCAACCAGTTTTGGGCAACTGGCTGATTGAGGTAAGTTTGGATGCTAATAAAAATCATACCAAAACTAGAAAGAAATTTGAAGTGGCCAAATATATGTTGCCAAAATTTAGTCTTGATGTAGAGACAGTTAAAGATATTGCCATTGATGACCCCCTGAAAATTACGATACGTTCCAAGTACACAAATGGCAAATCGGTTAAGGGTAAAGCTACTATTACAATATATACAAAAAATGTCCAAGCTAAAACTGAAAAAATCATCGATATAGATGGTAAAGGTCATATTGAAATCGATCTGAAGAGAGATCTTGATGAAGTATTACCCAATTTTAAGGATCATTTAGATTACCATTACTATGTACCACCAATCGATATACTGGTTGTCATGACGGAAAAATATACAGGACATAAACAAAATAAAACGGTTTCAGTAAATTTACACCCTTTAAGGTACAACATTGAAGTCCCTCAGAGTATTTATGAATACATTGCCAATGAAACATTTCAGTTAAAGGCCTTTATAAACAATGTTGATGGATCACCTGTTCGGAATGGAAAACATATGGCAAAGCTTTCGATAGGGACAAATCGTCGATATTATCCTGAAACAGTCTTTGAATTTACCAGCAAGCCCAATGAATATGGTCTAGCTGTGTTTAATGTGACTATACCTACGGCCGATTACTTCTACAATGTGAAAGTGACTTATGTCGATCAAACAAGGCTTCTAACCAGTTTAATGGGTAGAAAAATAAGGAAGAAAAATAACGACATCTACTCTGGCGATGAAGATGTGGGGTCTTTGAAGTTGATCAAGAGAACAGCAAAGCAATTGATATATTCTTTAGAAATAAATATTTTAGGATAAATTGTATATAACATTTTCCTTGTTTTTTTAGGCTTCGACTTGATAAAGACGTTGTCGTAGATGTAAAATCAAACAAAAATATTTCATACTATGTATGTCTACTCCGTTGTAGCCCGTGGCAACATTATTAAACAGGAACATGTTAAAGTAACAGAAAATTTTAACTCATGTGAAATTAGAATTAAACCTTCCTTTGCAATGGTACCCGTTTCGCATTTATATGTCTATTTTGTACTTGATGGCGATTTAAAGTTTAAAGAAATGACACTTGATTTTCCCAGAGAATTTCAGAATAAGGTACATACATATCCTCATCTTAATATAAGAAAGACTTTAAATTATAATTCGTAAGGTGAATGAAATCTTATTAAAAACCGATGGTTAAGTTGAAAGAAAAGTTTTAATGCAGTTTAAGATGTTTATTAAACAGTTATTATTTGACAAATCAAAAAAAGCTTTTTGAAAAAAGTTTATACTTGGAAATTATACATAATAGATTGGAAAACTTACATTATTGAAAAACCAGTGTTACACAAGTCTTTCTTATATTAGGGTGACGATATGTTTATATCGAATAATATCAAAATTTTAAGAAATAACAATATGTATTCAAATTATAAAGATTGAAATCACTGCTCAGAAAGAAGCTAAACCAAATGAGAAAGTTACTTTGAATATCAAAACAGATCCACATTCATATGTAGGTCTATTGGGTGTGGATCAAAGTGTACTAATGTCAACATCAGACAATGATTTTGATTCGAATAAAATTATTGATGATATAAGTTTATATGATACTCTAACACCTAATATTGGTGGTTATGGAAACTACCCGGGTAGAACATCGGGTTTGATTACCCAAACAAATGCCAATTATCGTTATTATACTGGTAAGTTTTTTAAAAATTTTCTTCTTTAACACTACTTAATGGAGTGTCCCGAGGAACTGCCTTTTCAAGAATATCATGTAGGAATACCTCTCAATCTATACGTAGTAATTAGCACGAGAAAAACAAAATAAATATCGTTTTGGAAAGAGCCTATGTTCTTTACCAGCGATTGAAAATTTTGATCTCAGTACAATATGTTAAAAATTTTTTGAAATCTTTTCTAAATGGGTCTCAAAAATTATGAGGGATGTATTTTTATCTAAAGGCTAGTTATGCTGAATGTCATCGTGTTATTAATGGTTATTAAAGTAAATTCGGACGTTTAAGATCTTTTTAAAGGCGGCTTTGTATGGGGGCTAGTGACAAACGACGGCCGATCATTATAAAAGTCGGCATGGTCATTTATGCCTATCTAAAACTTAGTTGTGCCAATATTAGTATATTTGACGTAGTTATGAGTTAAAAACCCCAAATCAGAAGGACAGATTGTGTGGGGTCTAGGTGAAATAATGGAGTGATTTCAACCATTTTGGACAGCTAGCCAGCCAGCCGGACAGACAGGCGGACATGTCTTAGTCTACTCAGAAGAAGATTCTGAGTCGATCGGTATATTTTAATACCCTCCCCCATTATAGTGATGTAAGGTATAAAAACATAAGGAAGTATAAAACTCAAATTAAAATCCATTTTCAGACTATCCCGGTATACATTATAAACCAATAAATGGAATAGGGTATCCTGACCTTCTATCAGTACTACCAGATTTTCTAGCAGCTGATCTTCCTACTGCATATCGTGTTTCATCCAGTTCCAAAATGAAACCAAAAGAAAAAGTAATTGGAGAAAATTGGATTTTCAATAATTTAAACAAGTACGAAAATTTAAAATCACTTCTAACATTCTCCAATTAAATTATTTATTTAAATTTATGTCAATTTAATTAAAATATAATAATAGTAATAATAATGTAATATTTTTTTTCATAATTTCATCTATTTTAAGCACCGATAAAAATGGCTTGGCTACTTTCACCAAAAACATACCCGATACCATTACTTCTTGGGTAGTGACTGGCTTCTCTTTGAACGATGAAACTGGGTTTGGTATGGTGGCAAATCCTACAAATATTAAAGTATTCCAGCCCTTCTTTATGACCACTATTCCGTAAAGCCTAGTGAAGTTATATCCATACCCGTAGTAGTCTTCAATTATATGGATAAAACCTTAGATGCTGAAGTTACCATGGAAAACACCGATAACGAATATGATTTCATTAAATTATCTAATGGAATTGAGGAATTAGTTTTAGAGGACAAACAACGTGTTAAAAGAGTAAGTGTGCCCTCGAATAGTGGCAAAACTATGTCTTTTATGATACGTCCCAATAAGGTGGAAGAAATTACTTTAAAAATTAAGGCTGTAACACCCTTGGCTGGTGATGCTATACATCAAAAACTTAAGGTAGAACCAGAAGGTGTTACTCAATATGAAAATCAAGCCATTTTTATAACTCCCTCTAAAGAACCCTTTAAGGAAACTCTTAAAACTGCTATACCCAAAGAAGCTGTATTGGATTCTGAATATTTGGAATTTTCTGTGGTTGGTGATATTTTAGGTCCCACTATTAAGAATATTGATAAATTAGTCCGTAAACCTTATGGTTGTGGTGAACAGAATATGGTTAACCTTGTGCCCAATATTTTGGTTTTACACTATTTGGATGCTATTAAACGTGAAATGCCGACTGTGGTTGAAAAAGCTAAAAATTATATGGAAGTTGGTTATCAGCGTGAATTGAACTATAAACATAAAAATGGTGCTTATAGTGCTTTCGGTGAGGGCAGCAGTGAACCGAATAGTTGGCTTACCGCTTACGTGGCTCGTTCCTTTATACAGGCTAAAAAATATATTACTATTGATTCGAATGTCATTGATGAAGCATTACAATATGTGGTATCAAATCAATTGGAGAATGGTCAATTTAAACAGACTGGACGTTTATTCCATCCGGCTCATCAGAATGATGTTGGTTTTACGGCTTTTGCTTTATTGGCCTTTTTGGAAGACATGGTAAGTATTAGTATTTCTTATACTTTTCATATTTCATCTAAAACTTTAATTATTTATCCATTTTTCTTCTAGGACTATTCTAACAAATACAAATCAGAAGTCGAGAAAGGTATTAAGTATTTGGTGGATAATATTGAAAAGGAAAGCGATACCTATGCTCTTGGCCTGGCAATGGTGGTCTTAAAGAAAGTACAACATCCTAGTGCTGACAAGCTAATGGAAAAACTCGAAAAATTAGCTCATGAAGAAAATAGTATTAAATGGTGGACAAAATCGTCTAAGGATCATAACAACGATATTGAAATAACAGCGTACATATTGGAAGCTTATGTATACACTGAACCAGCTGGAAAACTTTTACCCATTATTAAATGGTTGATAGGTAAACGTAATAGTAATGGTGGTTTCGATTCAACACAAGACACCGTTGTGGGTCTACAAGCTCTAATCAAATTTGCTGAAAAGTATATTGCTGGTGGATATGGTAAAATGACGATTAAGTTTGAGGCTCAAGATGAAGAGGGAAAAGAAACCACTAAGGGTAGTTTTTCGGTAGATAAGGAGAATTCCTTGATTTTGCAAACTCATGTGGTAAGTGTAATAAGATTAATTGTAACTTGCTATATAACTTATAAACTTTTCTTGTTCTTCTATAGCTTCCCAAATCCTCCCGTCAAATAACATTGGAAGCCAATGGTGAAGGCTCATCACTGGTACAATTATCTTATCGTTATAATTTAGCCAACAAAGATGACAAACCTAGTTTCAGTATTAAGCACACAATTCAACCAACCGATTATCCCAGTCTATTAAAAATGGATGTTTGCTCTGAGTTTGTTCCCGGCGCCAATAGTGATTTAAAACAATCTAATATGGCCATTATGGAAATATATCTACCATCTGGTTTTACCGCCGATACCGATAAGTTCGATGCCATACGTCAAGCCAAACAAGTACAACGTGTTGAAACCAAGAATTCCGATACAGCTATTATTATATATTTCGATTATCTAACGGCTGGTGAAGAGGTATGCTTCAATGTTAATGCCGAGAAGACTCATGCCGTTGCCAAGCAAAAGTCAGCCGCCATCACCATGTATGATTACTATAATTCGGATCAACGTGCCACTGTTTACTATGAAGTCAAGTCATCGTTGTGTGATATTTGTAAAGAGGGTGAATGTGGCAAAGGCTGTGAAAATAAAGAAGCCAATAAAAAGGCATAAATACTAAAAAATATTAAAGAAATAAATATTAACAATTTATTAACTTAAGTAATATATATAAAATACTAATATGTATGAATATAAATAATTCACAAAGATTAATAAAAACGGTTGAATTAGAAAAAACAAGTTAGAGTGCTATATTCGGCGATACCGAATCTTAAATACCCTCCACCAGCAAGCTACTTTTTATTAAAGCCCATTTAACTATATAATTTTTAGATAACTTGACAAAATTTTTGTTTCCGTATTGAGGGTACTAACATTTATGCATATGTGGAACTAATTTTGATTAGGTTCATGAATTTTTATATTAATAGGCCAATTGCAAACATTTTAATATAATGATTTATCTATACACAAACATACTCATGTCGAATTTTATCTGGATATAATCATTTAATAATGAATTAAGTGGTATTAGTATTAAGTGATTTTCAGAAGTAAAATTGCGTATAACGATTTATATATACAAAATACACATTTATGTCGAATTTTATCCCTATGACTTTGATTATCAATGTGCGTTTAAGTAATTTTCGTAAATGATCCTTATATGGGAGTTGTGACCAATTATGGACCGATCAAGAAAAAATTTCGTATAATGATTCATATGCAAAAAAAAAAATAAAATTTAAGTCGAATATTACTCCAACTGATTTATTAATTAATAAAATATATGCGTTTAAGTGATTTTCGGAAGTGGACCTTATATAGGAGCTATGACCAATTATGGGAATCTCCAGAAAAATTTCGTAGAGTGATTCATATGTATGTACACAAAACATATTTGTGTCGAATTTTATCATGATAGCTTTATTTGACAATGAAATATGTGCGTTTAAGTAATTTTCAGAAGTGGGGCTAATATAGGAGCTACGACTAATAATGGACCGATCCGAAAGGAAATTTGGTAGAATGATTTGTATGTACACAAAACATATTCAGTTCGAATTTCATCACAAAAGCTTTTTTATTATATACAAAAGCTATATAATAACTTCCGTCACAATATCGATATCGTCACAAAATTTTACAAATTAAAATCTTATATCAATAGAATTCATTCAGAGAAAAAATTTTCTGGATCGGTCCACAATTGGTCATAGCTCCCATACAAGGTCCCCTCCCGAAAATCACTTAAACGCGCATAACTCATTACTAAATTAAGATATCCATATACAATTTGGTAAAAGTATTGCCCATATGCATAGAAATATTACTGTGAAAGTTTTTTCTGATCGGTCCATAATTGGTCATAGCTCCCATACAAGGTCCCCTCCCGAAAATCACTTAAACGCGCATAACTTATTACTAAATTAAGCTATCCGTATAAAGTTTGGTACAAGTATTGCTTATATGTACAGAAATATTACTATAAAATTCTTTTACTATCGGTCCATAACTGTTCATATCTCCTATACAAGGTATCTTCCCGAAAATCACTTAAACGCACATAACTCATTACTAAATTCTTTATAAAGTTTGGTACAAGTATTGCTTATATGCACTGTGAAATTATTTTCCTATCGGTCCATAATTGATCATAGCTGCTATACAAGGTACAAGAAATACATTTAAAGGCACAAAACTCATTACCAAATAGTGATACCCATAAAATATTTGGCATAAATACTATTTTTGTAGACATATGTAAATGTTATTTTAAAATTTTTTCATGATCGGTCCATCCTTGGTCATAGCTCCCATACAAGTTTCCTTCCCGAAAATCACTTAAACGCACATAACTCATTATCAAATAATGATATGGATGTCAAACATTTAGCAAAAATATTGCTATTATATACATAAAATACACTATAAAATTGTTTTACGATCGGTCCATATTTGGTCATAGCTTTCATACTAGGTCCCCTCCAGAAAATCACTTAAATTACCAAATAATGATATAGATACAGAATTTTGAAATTTTGTCTTTATATACATAATTAGTCATAGCTCCCATACAAATAAAGCTATTGATACAAAATTTGGCACAAATATTAGTTTTATGTACAAAAATTCTATTTCAAGATTTTTTTACGATCGGTTCATAACATGTGTGCGGTCGGTCCCATACAAGGTTCCCTTCAAAAAATCACTTAAACACACATTACTTATTACTAAATTACGATATAGATACAAAATTTGACTGAAATATATCTTATATGTACAGAAATTTAGCTTAAAGATTTTTTTACGATTGGTCTATATTTGGTCATATCTCCCATACTGCGCCGAAAATCCCTTTAACCGTATTTAACTAGTTGCATTATCAATTTGTGTAGAACAATATCTATATATATAAAAATAAATGTATGTTTGTTTATTTGTTTGTTTGTACCTTATAGGAGGCTAAACTACTGAACCGATCTTCTTGAAATTTTCACTGTGTGTAGGGGTACGACATGTAAAATTTTTAAACTCGTGCCATTTTTTTGTTTTTCACCCAAATACAAAGATTTTTATATTTTGTGAAAGCGCTCGACGAGATCTTGAAAAAACATGCTTGGACATACTACTTATCTCTTATAATATCCGAGTTATAGGCATTTAAAAATTTAGTGATACAAAATTTACCATACCTTGGTCCGCCTTTTTTTGAATACCGGGCGTAATTTTGGACCAAATGGACTCAATTTTTTCTTGTTAGTTAGACAACAAAATTTCCAATAATATACAAAAAATTTCAGATCAATATTGTTTACAGATCCAAAAATATACGTTTTTTAATTTAAAAATTCAAAAAATTTTAGATTTTTGGCGTTTTTTTTTGCCAAAAATGTGTCTTAACTCTTTTATTAATAAAATAAAATTTTTATTAAGAACATATAACAATTTTATAGTTTTCTAAAAGGTATCTTTACGCAGAACGCTTTGGCGTAAAAAACTTGTCCTATTTTTTGAAAATGTTGCCACTGCGTCCTTCCGAATATGACCTATTTTTTATCAAAACTTCAACTTTGGGCGACATGTTCTAAAATCCCAAAGCTGGGATCAGAAAACTGAAAGCAGTTTTGGAAACCTCAATATGTTTTCTATTTACTCCAAAAGTATTTTCCCAGCCCTGAAAGAAATGTGGACCCTATGGGCAAAAAAGTAAAAAATCCCATTTTTGGGATTTTCATTCCTATTTTTGGGAATTGCGGGATGCCCTTTGACCTTTTCAATTTTTTTTTTTACATATTCTTATTTGAAATGACAAATTTAACAAGCGTTGAAAATTTCATTGAGTTTTGTTCATAAATAAAGATTTTGTCATATATTACATATTTGTTTAATTTCTAAAACTATGATTTATATCAAAATTTTAATAGGATCGCAGATAGCTACAACAATTTAGTCCATATTTATCCCTTAATATCATTTTTTAGTTAGATATGGAAATTCTCGACCCTTTACAAAAAATTTCAAGCCAATATCTCAATTACATTCAAAAATATGTTCATTTAAACCTGTGTCCTTTAATTTCATCTTTTTCATATTTTAGTATTAAGTATGACAGAACATACATTTGGTGTTGAATAAAATATTTGGACAATTTTTAAAAATTATTTAGTTAATTATTTTATTAAAGACTATAAAATTGTACACAGAAAAAATTATCAGTAGTTTATTTTCAATTAACATGTTTTTCTCTTTCTTTAGTTTTAATTTAAGCAATTTTTTATTTGTCTTAATTATCTCGTTGTTTAAAACCTAAGTTTACAAATTTGATTAAATTTTTAATTGATTCAATTAGTTTTTTAATTGATTGAAAACAATTTTCTGGCCAACTTTTCTATTTTAGTTTTTTTTTAAATATTTTATTTTGATTTCTTATGCTAACAATGTTTATAATTCCTAAATAGTCAATACGATTTTAGGCATATAATATTCAAGTTTCCTGACAATTTATAAAATACTTTATATGTTCAAATTTGATAATAAAGTGATATTTTTTGTAAATGCTCAACGCATTGTTGAAGGTCAAGCATTCCTTTAACATTGTGAGTAATCAGTTAATAATTTGATTGTTTTAATCATCAACTTAATTGGTTTTTAATACATTTTCTACCAAACAAACTAATTCATTTGATTAATAAATTAATAAAAATTAGAATTTATTTTTATTAAATATTTAATTTATACAATTAATGAATTAATCAAATTTAAATTTTTTCTCAATTATTGATATTAATTGTTCTGATTAATTCGTTATTTGAAAAAAAAAGTATTTTTTAAATTTTTTTACAAATTTGATAATTGATATCATCATTTTGGTGATAGGTGCAAAACTTGCTTGATACAATTATTTTCATAATTGAAACATATTTTTAGTTTTTTCTGAGTATATACAATAAAAAAATTATAATTTTATTATGAGCCACGCACAACAACACCTAAATCACCCCACACAAATTACCTTTCCCGCCCACCGAAATATAAAACACAATTTAATACAATATCATCAGTTAGTATAATAGCTATTTTTATTTGAACTGTTTATCTTAAACATAATACAATTAATTCTTACAACCTACTTATATAGTTAATTCCTAACACTACTTATTTTCTATAAAATAATCTGTCATATCGGTATACATATCCAGAAGGTAATATAAGTCCTTTAAATCTCCCTTGTTTTGAGATGATAGAGTTTCATAACAAATCCATCTTTTTCGCATAGTTTAAAGAACAGGATCAGAAGATAGAAGTAAACTATTAAAAGTATCTTCATTCTGTGATTGCCTGGAGCATTTTCTTGAGCTGAATAGTTGAACATGCTTAAAATCTCGATTCCTCGCTTCCTGGGCTTCTTCTGTTAACTCTCCAAGTGGAAGAATATTCGATTCAATTATTATTTGACCATGACACAATACTTTGTGTACTGTTGGTGTTAGTTCCCTCCATGGATACAGAGATACAAGTAAATTAGAAATTTCAGATGTGTATTCCCCAAATCGATTTTCATTAATTTTATGTTTACTATTCAGTGCCATTAAAATAGTTTTAACTCTTCGAAGCAACTCCTTGTCGATTCCAGTTATTTTTGAAGTAATTTCAAAATCACGAAAAAACCTTCTCGACGTATTACCGTCATTTGTACTACCGCAACTTGAAAGTGGTTTGTCGACGTTTAATCCCATCTGAACTTTAAATTCTTCTTGGATTCTGCTTTTTTCCGTAGCTCTCAGTTCTTTCAATTCTTCATTATTTTTTGTTGATTTTGTAGGATAGTTTGTTTTTTTTTTTCCTGGATCGCCTTGTATGATGGTAATATATTGTGTCCTTTTTCATGCAGAGCTTTCCTTAATATTTGGTACTTATTTCGACTGAGACCCAGTTCCAACATAAGCGCTATTGCTTCCTCTTCAGTAAAATTTGATTATGATGTTGGAGTTGGTATACTTTCCACAATTCGCTTAAGTCGTTTTGGTGATGCATTAGGAAGAATAGTTGCAATATGTACGACATCCATATGTTGGTTTTCCTTTTTCAGCATTTCGTTAAATGTATCAGCAATTTCCTCATTTGAGATTGAAAAAAGTTTTTGTGTGACCCTCTTTTTTTACCTTGAACATAAGTCTTCGTATGACTTGCAAGGCGCTCCTGTTGATGTGTTGTAAGTTGAGATTTCCGTAGTAGTTTCCATCCAACTACAAAATTTTAATCGAAATTTCTTTTGATTTCCATCCACAGACTTACTTTTTACATCAAAAAGTTTTAAAAAGTTTTCAATTTTTGATATGCCTGTTTTGTCTACTTTTCTACTATATGTAGTTTTTATATAATTTGAAATGTCTTCAATTCTTTCTGGCCCTTTTGAAGATATACTAAATAAAACGGAACACAACTCTTCGTACTTTAATGTAATCTTCATTGTAGATTTATTAAGTATGGTACTTAAAATCTGAGAAGTTTACTTATATACCAATTCTTGTCATTTCCGATACAGGTATTCCAAAGTAAAAAATTACGAATTGTCTACCTATTAACATTTAGGACTATATTACTATAACCTGTAATTCAGTCATTGATATTTCTTATTAGTGAATGAATCGAAATTATCATTACCTGTATATTTTTACCTACATGATCATAAACGAAACAGAACGAAATGATCTGTCGAAAAAATTTAGGTAAAAAATAGTTATAAATTTTTGAAAATTTAAGCATAATAGGACCTTTCAATTATAAGGATAAGCAAACAAATAGAAAATAGGTAAATATAAGATTTAAATATGTATGTGCTGTCATACTTAATACTAAAACATGAAAAAGATGAAATTAAAGGACACAGGTTTAAATGAACATATTTTTGAATGTAATTGAGATATTGGCTTGAAATTTTTTGTAAAGGGTCGAGAATTTCCATATCTAACTAAAAAAACTAAGGGATAAATATGGACTAAATTGTTGTAGCTATCTGCGATCCTATTAAAATTTTGATATAAATCATAGTTTTAGAAATTAAACAAATATGTAATATATGACAAAATCTTTATTTATGAACAAAACTCAATGAAATTTTCAACGCTTGTTAAATTTGTCATTTCAAATAAGAATATGTAAAAAAAAAAAATTGAAAAGGTCAAAGGGCATCCCGCAATTCCCAAAAATAGGAATGAAAATCCCAAAAATGGGATTTTTTACTTTTTTGCCCATAGGGTCCACATTTCTTTCAGGGCTGGGAAAATACTTTTGGAGTAAATAGAAAACATATTGAGGTTTCCAAAACTGCTTTGGGATTTTAGAACATGTCGCCCAAAGTTGAAGTTTTGATAAAAAATAGGTCATATTCGGAAGGACGCAGTGGCAACATTTTCAAAAGATACCTTTTAGAAAACTATAAAATTGTTATATGTTCTTAATAAAAATTTTATTTTATTAATAAAAGAGTTAAGACACATTTTTGGCAAAAAAAACGCCAAAAATCTAAAATTTTTTGAATTTTTAAATTAAAAAACGTATATTTTTGGATCTGTAAACAATATTGATCTGAAATTTTTTGTATATTATTGGAAATTTTGTTGTCTAACTAACAAGAAAAAATTGAGTCCATTTGGTCCAAAATTACGCCCGGTATTCAAAAAAAGGCGGACCAAGGTATGGTAAATTTTGTATCACTAAATTTTTAAATGCCTATAACTCGGATATTATAAGAGATAAGTAGTATGTCCAAGCATGTTTTTTCAAGATCTCGTCGAGCGCTTTCACAAAATATAAAAATCTTTGTATTTGGGTGAAAAACAAAAAAATGGCACGAGTTTAAAAATTTTACATGTCGTATGTACCCTACTTTGAGCCGCCACAGCGTCGTCCCTGGGGCATCTGCAGGGTTCATCTTCCAAACTTAAACTCGAATACTCCTTGGCTACGCTCACGCCAAATTTTATCCCGATCGGATCAGCCGTTTAGAAATGCCAGATTTATTTCCAAAAAATTTCCATTCTGCCCCACTGTGGGATGGGGGTTACCCCTTAAATAACTTATCAAATACTTTACTAATAACAAGGTGTGACAAAATTACAAAAAATCAATACACTAATCGCCACACCTAGTGAAGTTGGTAGGTTTAGTAGAGTAGATTACAGTACAATTTTTAGAATCTTCAATATACCCTAAAAATCGGAAGATATTGGAAAAAACACTTTTTGTTGACTAGACAGACCAAAAAAATTATATCTCAAAATTTTCCTTACCGATTTAATATTTTTCAACTGTTTTGAAAAGAGTTTCCTTTCTTTTTTGATGGTGGGTATAAAAATGGCTAGTTTATTTCAATACTCACGTCACGAGTTTTGAATCTTAAGGATATAATTGTTTCCAAGCACAGTCCAAAAATAATACAGCGACGTTGTTCTGATGGCCAATTAATAGCGCTGAATTTCATGAAATTATGTGATCGAGTATTTGGTTTGAAATAACTTCATTGTGACATGTTGAAACCCCTTTTAGAAACCCCTGTACCTTCTTTAAAAATATATACACATCTTCCAAAATACATAATTAATTTTTTTTTCCATTTATTAGATCACTTTCTTTTTGGGCCAAAATTACAATATTTTTTCCCAAAATATTATTGATATTCTCTTTTCTCCAGATGAACACGCGGCTCTTCTACTAATTTCAAAGATATGTGATTCTCACAAACTAGATCTTCATACTTAAAATCTGTTGTAAATTTGTACGTTTTTATAAGTTTTGCCAATGAAATTTTAAAAAATAGTTCAGCATATCTCTTACCTAAATTATAAAGAAAAAACATATTTTGATATTAATGCTTCAATATTTATTATGTCCCGTACTCGTTTGGGTTGCAAGTTTATATAATAAGACGTTGTTTTTCTGATTACTTCTGACTAAAATCTGCAAAACTGACGAGTGCGGGAACTGCCATATTATGAAGATTTACACAAATATACACCATTTACATATATATTTCGGAACATTCTGAAATATACATTCTTACAAAATGTATCATTTTTATCTACTTACCAATGCAAGACCTTTGACCTTTGGTAAACGGTATATATGCAAACGGGTGCCTTTCAGCAACATTTGAAGGTAGAAAGTTGTCAGGATTAAAAGCGTTTGCATTGGGACCATACAGATGTTTACTGCGGTGCAAAGTATAGAGGTCCATACAAATCATTATACCAACCGGTAATTTCAAGCCATTGCTGAGGATAACATTCTCCTTGGTAACTTTTCGAAACACCATTGGTATTGGGGGAAATAGTCGCATTGTCTCTTTGAAAATCATATCTACATAAGTCGCGTGCTCCATCAATTCTAATGTAATATCGTTTTCATTATCCGGTAATAGACTTGCTACCTCCTCATATGCACGTTCCTGATAATGCGGATGCATAGCCAGCAATGCGATAACCAAATACAATGTAGAAGATGTAGTCTCAAAGGCCTTTAAAAATAATTCATTCAGAGTTATTTTCCTTGAGCTAAAACTATATTAAAACCTACCCCGAAAAAGATATGCATCATTTGGCTTTCAATTTCGTCCAATCGTAAAATGTTATGTTGAACTCCCATAAAAGCATAATCTAAAACGCTATTAACTTCGGGCAAATAACTGGGATCTTTTGTATCATTTCTACGGATAATATCCACTGATTCGCTGATAAGTCTTTGAAACATCACAAAACCATCTTTAGCAGTCTTATAAACATAATTCTCTGCCAGTTTGTATATCCATTTAATCGCCATTATTTGACTAAGGCAGACATCCGCTAAAAACTCTAAGAATCTAAAACAGAATCAGTTTATAGGATTAGGTACAGTTTCAGGTTTAGTTTAGTTAACTTACGCGTGAGCATGTTCTGCCATAATAAAAGAATTAAATTCCGTCTGTTCCAAATTTCTTTTAAGTGTTGTTTCTAAGGAGAATTTTATTTTTTAAGCGAATAAAAATTGATAAAAATCATCTGTACTATATTCAGAATAACTTACTGGAAGCAATTCTCATGGTAAATGCACGAAATATTACCAACATATCAACGTCAACTCCTTTTTCTTGACTTTTCTCTATGTGCTCTATTACATTGTTAATCTCTTTGTGAAAAAGGGAGAAAAATGATTTTAAAGTTGTAGGTGAAAAGGCCTTATTCAGTACTTTACGATGTCTACTCCAATCAGGATCTGTAAATTGTAATTTAGGAACATTTTTAATCATAATAATTTCAGATAATGTTAGAATTCCCAGTTCTATTACCATTTTGAGTTATTAAACCATCACCGGCTATTGTAGTAATTCCTTTATATAAGATTGGTTTATCAATGCAGTTTTTAGATGTTAAAATATCCTTTATGACCTCTGGATCAGTACAGAGAAAAATCGGCCATATTCCTATCCATATTACACAGTTTGGACCATATTTATTGGCATAGTTATAAAAGTATAAAAGACCCTCTGTAAGAAATTTACAAATTATTATTAATTATGTTATTTTTTAACAAATGTCGTGACATTATAGTCAGGTTTGCTCGGGCTTATGATGCCCTACACAAATGATTTTCTGAAAACTTATGTTTTAGAGTCATCGCAAAGGCGTCGTTATGATTTTTTTCAAGGAGAAGTGATTTTGTAATGCCATTTTTAATGCGTGGTGGCAGTGTAATATCTGAAAATAATTAACTTATGCTTGCAAAATCGCTCTACCTTCTTTCTTCCTTGTATCCTTGTACAGGCGGACATGGCAAGATCGTCCTATATATATAATGCGGATAACTTGCTTAAAAAAGCACGTATAGCAACGAAATTCGACATAAACAAGTTTTATGGGAACCGGGGCCTCCGGTAGGTTAGTGGTTAGTGTTCTAGTCTGGTAGACCGGAGGTGGTGGGTTCTATTCCCACCTGAGGCACTGGTAAAGGAGCGCACAACAGGCTCGGTAGAGGCCTGTGTGTATTTCTTCGGATTTGATGTATATACATCCTCCTTTCAAACTAACTAACTATGAGAATCGGCCGATAATTGACCCTACCCCCCATATAATGATCTATTTATATACGATATTCAAATTTAGAATAAATGAGTAAATTGTGGAAATAAGTAACAAAAGAATCAATTCTTATAGTATAGGACCACTTTCCGAAATTCACTTGAAATATATAGCACAATGTTTGATGGTGGGTATATAAGATTCGGTATAGCCGAATAAACCGCTATTGTTTGTTTTTATTAAAATAATTGAGTATCCGTAAAAAAAATGTTTTTTTTCCCAAAAAACATTTTAAAATCTAGCGCAAAATTCCCGTCTTAAGATCACAATTCAAATATTATTCATATACATATACTCAGTAGTGTCCCACAATACATTCTCGGAAATCTGATACAATTTCTTGATGATCCGATACCAATGAAATACAAAATCAAATGTGAGTATCGGGCCCTCAATGCTATCCGATATAGGCTATAGTCCTTCAGGATCTATTATACTTTTTTACATGTTTTCTTTACTTTTCACTTCAATCGTTACCTTTTCTCGTTAAAAATGTGCCAAAACCACGCCACGTATGTAGTCTATTCGAGTTTACTGTATGGGCTAGTCTTATAAATGCTCTGATATACCAAAGATATATGATCCAACCACACAAGATAAATCCAACCGCATATATAAATAAATCCATTTCAAACAAATTATAACACGAATTGTAACTAACTGAGCTTATGTTGCGCTTTAGACTTTCTTTTATATACTTGAAATTTACATACATCTATTAGACTTGAGAAGGTACTCTAGATGGAATTTAAATTTTAATTCATACAAAATCTTTACTAGCTACAAAAATATATTCCATTGATTACAGATAAAACAAGTAAGAGTGTTATATTCGGCTGTGCCGAATCTCATATATCCACCATCAAACCGTATGCCGTAAAAGGAATGCTCCCCTATAAACATCAGGGTGATGTTTGGAATATGGCTTAAGTCAACTATGGACCGAGCTCTTTTGAACTAACAAAATATTAATTTTTAAAAACTAAATATTTTATTTCAATTCAATTTCAAGTCAATTATGAACCGATACTCAAAAAATTTTGTACATAGATTTCGTTTGTATAGAACTTGTTTATGCAAAATTTCAGCGCTATACTCGTATTTTAAATAAGTAACACTCGTATTTTATTAACCAAAACTCTTTCCTGAAGGGAACCTTTTATAGGGGCTAGGGTCAGTTATAAATCAGTCCTCATTAAATTCGGAATGAAGAATTATGTTCCTAAGTATAAACTTTTTTATGTCGATTTTAATCGCTGTACTTGTAATTATCTGAGTTTTCTTCATCAAATTTTCTAAAGAGGATCTCTTATGTGGTGTATGGTCAATTGTTGACCTATCCTCATAACTTTTTGTAGACCGATTTTGGTTCATATCAAAACTTGTTTACATTGAATATCATCGCTGTACTCGCATTTTTATGCCAGCAATTAGCGTTCATGTAATTTTATAAAGGGGCTTATATGAAACTTATTTATGTCGAATTTCATCGCTATACTTGTATTTCTAAAGCAGTTATGACGTTAAAGCTGTTTTTTGGATGTCCACTTGTATGGGGGCTATTCAAAAAAGTGGACCGATATTGCCCATTTTCAATACCAAACAAACCTTAACAATAGATAATATTTATGCAAAATTTCAACTGTCTAGCTCCTCTCGTGTGGTCCCTATTGTGATTTCAACAGACAGACGGACGGACATGGCTAGATCGTCTTAGAATTTAATAAGGACCCGGAATATATGTATATACTTTTATGGGTCTATGACCAATATTTCGATGTGTTACAAACGGAATGACAAAATCAATATATCCCCATCTTTTTCGATGGTGGGTATAAAAATAAAACCATTTAATGTAATGCTTATTGGTACCACAAGAGCTCTTCTGATCGATATGATTGAAAGAAATACAATTAGTTCACTTTAAGCTGTTTGGGTTCCTTCCTTAAGGTGCAATATAATTAAGTCCAATTTATTTTAAATAATTAATAATGACACATTAGTTAATAATTATACCTATGTATATCAACTTATTTACATACAAAAAAGTATAAATTTACCTTAACACAATTACATTTCAATTTACAAAAATTATGCTCAAATGTATTAAAAGTAATTAATAACTGGCTAGTTATGAATCCAATTAAGACAATGTATGTGAATTCTCAATATATATTAAAATTGGACAAGTTAGAGCGCTACATTCGGCTGAGCCGAATCTTTTATATTAATACTTTTTTAATTGATCAAATATTTGCAGAAATACGTTTTCTCATGTCTTAAATAGAAAACCCCCAAGATTTAAACTAGTGTTTATAAAAAACCGACTTTTGGAAAGACCGGTTTTTCGGTTAACCGAAAATTGACCATTTCTAGAAAACCGGTTTGTCGGTTAACCGAGTATAAAAAAACCGGTTAGCCGAAATATTTGGAAATCTTATATATATTATGAATTACTTAATAAGATATTTGCACTTTTTAGTATAGATATGTACATTAATATATCATAAGAAAACAAACTTATACAGATCTGAAGATATTATTGATTCGTTAGGTAGTTAGGAAGTTGCCATAGGAGGGATAAATTGACCTTTGATAAATAATGCATCTATATCAATGTCCAGGACTATCAAGTATAAATAGTGTTCAGGCTCGCGACGATTTATCGGGAACGGAAGTAGACGACGACTGTCTCGACATAGACATTGAGCCGCTGCTTTAATTGTAACCTCCCTCCGCTTGCTACGTCTTTGGTTGTTTAAATTAGTGTGAATGACGCTTAGGAATATTGACAGGTGTCATTCTGACTTCCTGTCAATCAACAGTTTCTGAAAAACCCCAGCAGCATAAATTCTCGGACAGCAGCAACAACCCTTATGTTTCGATAAATAAAGTACGTTTTGAGAACGTTTGAGAAACTTCTCGATTTTTATTATACTCACGCAGTAAACAAGTAAGTGCATCCTGCATTTTATCATCAAAGTTATTTATTCGTCTTAATAAATAACAAATTTCTTCATATAATGGTTGGAATTTGTTTAAATAGTTAATTTTTAATTGGTTTAAATGCCAACTTTTTACTAATTTCCTGATTGTCTGAAATTGTAAATCTTCATTTTATATACATAATATATGTTTAACATTTCCTAACATTTGTTTAACAATCTTAGGCCTGTTTTCATATGCACAAACGGAAAATAATGTTTAGAATTATCCATCCAAAATTTTTAAAAATCACAATTAAAAATCAAAGAAAACATACAATTTTGTAGTAAAAATTAGATTTTTTTGAAACCGATTAACCGAGACTTAAAAACCAAATAACCCGGTAAACCGAAAACCAATGTTTTAAAATTTTGTATCGATAGCTTTATTTGGTAATGAGTAATGTGCGTTTACGAGATTTTCGTAAGAGGACCTTGTATGGGAGCTATGACCAATTATGGTCCGATCGTACAAAAATTTCACAGAACATTATTAATATATATAAAGACAAAATTTTGGCTAAATTCTGTATCTATATCATTATTTGGTAATGAATATTGTGCATTTAAGTGATTTTGTGGAGGGGACCTTGCATGGGAGCTATGACCAAATATGGACCGCTAGTGAAAAAATTTTATAGTGTCATTTCTGTATATAAGAGCAAAATTTGTGCTAACTGTATGGATATCATAATTTAGTAATGAGTTATGTGTGTTTAAGTAATTTTCAAGAGGGGATCTTGTAAGGGAGCTGTGACCAATTATGGACCGATCGGAAACAAATTTCACAGTAATATTTCTGTATACAAGAGCAATACTTCGGATATCTTAATTTAGTAATGAGTTATGTGCGTTTAAGTGATTTTCGGGAGGGGATCTTGTATGGGAGCTTTGACCAAATATGGACCGATCGGAAAAAAATTTCACAGAAATATTTCTGTATATAAGAGAAATAATACTTGTACCAAATTGTATATGGATATCTTAATTTGGTAATGAGTTATGTGCGTTTAAGTGATTTTCGGGAGGGGATCTCGTATTGGATCTATGTCCAATTATGGGCCGATCCAGTATATTTTTTCTCTGAAAGAGTTCTATTGACATAAGATTTTCATTTGTAACAATTTGTGAAGAAATCAATATTCTGACAGTAGTTATTAGCAATAAACACATTTTCCGGGAATATGTACTTTTGTATGGGAGGTATATGAAATTGTGGACCGATTCCGGCAATTTTCAATAGAATTCAAGCTCTCGGGTATATATAAGTTTGTCGTTCCGTGTGTAACACCAAGAAATATTCATCTAAGACCCAACAAAGTATATACATATATTCTGGGTCCCTATGAAATTCTAAGTCGATTTAGCTATGTATGTCCGTCTGTCTGTGTAAAACACGCTCACGTTAAAACTAAGCAAAGGAACTCATCCAAATTCATAAAAAATATTAATTATTATCCTAAGCAGTTCGGTATTGAAAATCAGCAAAATCGATGCACAGCGTAAAAAGTTATGAGTAAAAATTTTAGACTACCTCGAAAAAAATTTCGTTTTTTTTCCTAATTCTTTTGAAGTTTTCTCAGAAACTACCAAAGATATTTCGATGAATTTTGTCAAACATTATTTTTTCGAGGCAGTGATCAATTATGTTCAAAATCTTTACAGTCGATCCATACAAAGGTATATATTCCCGGAAATTAGTTTATCGTTAATAACTCCCTCCAATATATCGGTATCAACACAAAATTTTGTACATGCAAATATAATATGAACAGAAATCATTCTATCAACGTAGACTCAGTCGGTCCACAATTAGGACCACTTCGGAAAATTACCTAAACGTACATATTTCATTTATAAATAAAGCTATTGTGATAAAATTCGACACAAATGTGTCTTGTGTACATACAAATCATTCTACAACATTTTTTACGGATCGGTCCATTATTGGTCATAGCTCCAATATAAGGACCACTTCCGAAAATCACTTAATTCATTGTCAAATAAAGTTATCATGATAAAATTCGACACAAATATGTTTTGTCTTTATGTGAATCACTCTACGAAATTTTTCCGGATAGGCTCCCATATAAATCATTCTACCAAATTTTTTCTGGATCGATCCATATTTGGTAATATCTCCTATATAAAGTAAACTTCAAAAAATCACTTAAACGCACATATTTCATTACCAAATTAAGATATTTTGATAAAATACGACACAAATGTGTTTTGTGTACATATGAATCAACACATATACGAAATTTTTACGGATAGGTCCGTTATTGGTCATAGCTCCTATGATAATCACATAAACGCACATATTTCAATAATTAATAAATCTATTGGAGTAAAATTCGATTTGATTTTTTTTTTTTGCATATATGTAAATCATTATACGAAATTTTTTCCTTATCGGTTGATAATTGGTCACAACTCCCATATAAGAACCATTTCCGAAAATACTTACAATGCATATTGACAATCAAAGTTATTGGGATAAAATTCACATTTATGTCGAATGTATTTTGTATATATAAATCATTCTACGGAATTTTTTTCGGGATCGGTCCATAAGTTGTTTTAGCTCCCATACAAGGTTTACTTCTGAAAATCACTTAATACCACTTAATTCGTTATGAATATGTTCTGTGTATAGATAAATCATTCTATTAAAATGTTTTCGAACTGGCCTATTAATATAAATTTTTCTGGACCTAATTAAAATTAGATTGACATATGCATATACATATTTTAGTACCCTCAATGGGGAAACAAAAATTTTGCCAAGTTATCTAAAAATTAGATAGTAAAATGGGTTTTAATAAAAAGTAGCTTGCTGGTGGAGGGTATTTAATATTCGGCATAGCCGAATATGGCACTCTAACTTGTTTATACCTCATTGTTATAATAAACATTGATACTAATTACTTGGTGATATCAATATGTATTCCAAAAAAATTTCAATCTCAATTACACTAAAAACGTTTAAAGATCAATGATAAATCGTTAACATAATTAAAAGTTCTAGAACGACACAATTAATCAAAATAAGTAACTTGTTAAATTGTTTAATCGCAAACTAATTGAATACAGCCAACTGTGCGCACACGCTGCTGCAATAACTACGTTGACCCATGAGGACACAGAGCTCTAGCTTTCTAGTGCGTGTATTCACTGGACCAACATTCTTGAGCTTTAGAATTACAGATGTCTAGGATCTGTTTTTTATTTACAGGCAGTGAAAATCCACAGAACTGATCTATTGCCAGTTCACTTAAACATAACTGAATTAAAAAGTTTAATGTTTGACTTAAACAATTTGTGTAAGAGCCAAAATCTCTCTATGTAACTTTTCAATGATCGGTCTATAATTAGCCCTTCTTTTCTACTTACCTTAAGGCTACCCATAATTAAGCCGAAAGTTCTTTCAATATACGCGACATGATACCTCTAACGTATACCTCTGATCGGCCAAGTGTACTAATGTACTAGGTCAAAAGGAGTATAAAAATTTCTATATTTAGGGGTCCGCGAAATCAAATGAAGGGGTCTGTGAAGCTAAAACCCGAATTTTTGTCTAAAATCTGACAAAAAACGAGGAAATGGTATCGGAAATGGAATCCTATTTTCGGGACTTCTTGTCGAAACCCTTGTAAGCCCATGAAGTTCAAGCTCAATACCTAAAATCGCCAACACTTTCTCTTCGCTCATGTAAATTTCATTCAAATCGATCAACCCTTTTTGATTTACAGATTTATATCCCTCTTAATTTCTTTTCTATACCACTGTGCAGCATCTAGTGTGATTATCAGTACATCTAACATTGTTTAAAATAAAAAAAAAAACTCTAAAAGCTGGGATTCACTTTTTTAATAAATCGGAAACTGAAATGTATATGTATGTACTTATCTTTAATTATTCTCAACACCACTAATAAAAAAGCCGGCTATAAGAGAATTTTGAAAAGTCTCTCTGTAAATTCGAGAGAGAAACTAGGTACTAACATATAAACAGAATAGGATCGATTAGCGTCATACGTATAGTTATAATTTAAGTCTATATATTCGGAACTTCAAAGTCTAGTAATTTAATTTCGTGGGAAAGATGATGTAGGATGTAAATATCTAAAAGTTGTCTCAAAATCGATAGTTTATCATGAAAAGTTTTGACAAAAGAAGAGTCTTTATGAGTGCACAAAAGAATTGACATTTAAACTTATTTATTCCCCAAATTCTGCCAGTCGCACAAATTTTATTTAAACATGAGATGGAGATAAAAATGTGTAGAATGGCTCTTTAGAGAATACACTAAGTCTAGTCACTAGAACTAATAATCAATAAAATAAAAAAATCACCGGTATCATACATATAAGTAGCTCAATGTATATTAACCTAAACTCAGTTGCAGTTTAGCTCTAGTCCAGTTTGGAACTGACGCTAAACAAACAGTTATTAAATTTATTTACGGAGTTTTGTTTGTTTATAAAGTTTGTTCTAGTGTTTAAAAAAAAATTTGTGAACAAAAATCTAATCTATATTGATTAACTAAACAATTTTAAATAATTAATTATTATTTGAATAAATATTACTAATTTAATTAAAAATCATGAACCGAACATTAAGTTCAGCTTTAATATTTTTACAAATTTTAATATTTGTTAATGCAAGCGGGTAAGTTTTTTTTTATTTTATTATACCCACCATCAAAAAAGATGGGGGGTATATTGTTTTTGTCATTCCGTTTGTAACACATTGAAATATTCGTCTAAGACCCATAAAAGTATATATATTCTGGGTCCTTATTAGATTCTAAGACGATCTAGCCATGTCCGTCTGTCCGTCTGTCTGTCTGTCTGTTGAAAACACGATAGAGTCCAAACGGAAGTAGCTAGCGAGCTGAAATTTTGAACAGATACTTCTAGCTGCAGTTCGTTTGGTATTGAAAATGGGCAATATCGGTCCACGATTTCGCCTAGCCCCCATATAAGGCCCCCTTCAGAAAATGACTTTATCGCTCATAACTTGCTAAGGGAAGCATCAATAGCGGTGAAATTCGGCACAAACATGTTTTATGGGAACATAAATCTCTTCGTAGAATTTTATAAGGATCGGTCCATAATTGACCCTACCCCCCATATAAAGTCCCCTTCAGAAAATGACTTTATTGCCCATAACTGGATAAGAGAAGCATCAATAGCGGTGAAATTCGGCACAAACATGTTTTATGGGAACATAAATCTCTTTGTAAAATTTTATAAGGATAGGCCCATAATTGACCCTACCCCCCATATAAAGTCCCCTTTAGAAAATGATTTTATCGTCTATAACTGGCTAAGAAAAGCATCAATACCGGTGAAATTTGGCACAAACATGTTTTATGGGAACTTCAATCTCTTTGTAAAATTTTATAAGGATAGGCCTACAATTGACCCTACCCCCCATACAAAGTCCCCTTCAGAAAATGACTTTATCGCCCATAAATGGCTAAGAAAAGCATCAATAGCGGTGAAATTCGGCACAAAAATGTTTTATGGGAACCTAAATCTCTTTGTAAAATTTAACAGGGATAGGCCCATAATTGACCCTACCCCCCATATAAAGTCCCCTTCAGAAAATGACTTTATCGGCCATAACTGGCTAAGAGAACCATCAATAGCGGCGAAATTCTGCATTCAAACATGTTTTATGGGAACTTCAATCTCTTTGTAAAATTTTATAAGGATAGGCCCATAATTGACCCTACCCCCCATATAAAGTCCCCTTCAGAAAATGACTTTATGGCCCATAACTGGCTAAGAGAAGCATCAATTGCGGTGAAATTCGGCACAAACATGTTCTATGAGAACCTTAATCTATTTGTAAAATTTTATAAGATAGGCCCATAATTGACCCTACCCACCATATAAAGTCCCCTTCAGAAAATGACTTTATCGCACATAACTGGCTAAGGGAAGCATCAATAGAGGTGAAATTCGGCACAAACATGTTTTATAAGAATTTAAATCTCTTCGTAAATTTTATAAGGATCAGTTCAGAATTGACCCTACCCCCATATAATGACTTTAAGCCTTATTATTGACTCAAAAATGTGAGTACAGCAGTAAAATTATACATAAACAAGTTTTGTCCAAGCCAAAAGTTCTTTATCAAATTTTATTAGGATCGATCCTTAATTAACCCTATCCCACTTGTAAAGTCCCCTTCAGAAAATGACTTTAAAGCTCATTACTTGCTTAAAACTGCGAGTACATCGATGAATTTCGACATAAACAATTTTCGTATTAGCTTAAATCTCCCACTAAATTTTATGAGGATCAGTCTGTAATTGACCCTACCCCCCTATAAGGTCCCCTTCAGATAATGACTTTAACGCTCATTACTGACTCAAAAATGCGACTACAGCAGTGAAAATCTACGTAAACAAGTTTGTACTAGTCAAAAACTAAAAATCGTTTTAAATTTTAGAATTTAATTGACTTATACGGGGGTGGGCGTATAGGGGCGCCTTTAACGATTCACTCCAGAGAATCACTTTAACGCTCATGTATGGCTCAAAAGTTCTTCCAAATTACGGTAGTTTTATAGGAACTGGAAGTTTTCAACTGAATTTGATGAGGATAACTAATCAAACATCCATTTTCGGTTCCCTTCAGATAATTATTTTAAACCTCATGACTGAATTAAAGATGCAAGTACAGCTACATTAGATACAAATAATTATCGTATAAACCGACAATGATAGGTCCATAATTGACTCCACTCTTACAAAAAACAGTTTATGGTTATAAATATTGGATCAAACAAAATTAATATTTTTAATTCGGAAGAGCACGGTCCATGCTTAAGCCCTTATTAAATTTCCTCTACCAAATATTTCCCAAATATTTCCTGACATATGATTCAACATAGATCGATAATATCAAAGTTTATTTATAGGGATGATTTGATGGTGGGTATATAAGATTCGGCATGGCCGAATATAACACTCTTACTTGTGTTTTAATAATTATTATAATTCACTTTTTTGGGGATTTTTGATTAATTAATAAACGTCAATTGTTTTCCCAGAATATGTATTTGTGTTTATAAACAGTTTTAGTAAGAAATCTGTATATATATACGATATGTTGGTGTTGTTTTTTGTAGGTTTTTATTATGTTGCACTAACACTTGTGTTAATAAATATCTTATCAGTTGAATAGGTGTTGAAGGTCAGAACTGGTTCTTTCCCAAACATTATATGGACATTGTATCAAGTAAACTTATACCACGACATATAGTGGAAAGACTATTTATGATGTGTTGTTTGCACATACGTTGCAAATAGGTATTTCTCTTTTACACAATTTAAAATATGCCAATCGATCCAGAATAATATTATGAGTCCCTATCAGCTATGAAGTACTGTTTTGGGATTTAAAATACTTTCTTAATTAATTAATTTCAAAGTCTTACGAGTAGTCTGAACTAGTTTGTTGTCTAGTGTATAGACTATGTACAACTCTACTGTCTAATCTATTGACTAACCTATTGACTAGTCTATAGAGTAATCTATTGACCAGTCTATGGACTTGCCAGTAGACTATCCTTTGGATTATCCTATTGAATAGTCAATTGACTAGTGTATCGACTAATCAATTCATTAGTATATTGTCTAGTCTGTGGACTAGTCTATTGTGTAGTCTGTGGACTAGTCTATTGACTAGTGGACTAGTCTATTGACTAGTGGACTAGTCTATTGACTAATCAGTGGACTAGTCTAGTGTTTATAATATGGATTAACACATTGCATAGAATATTGACTAGTCTGTGTACATATATATATATATATATATATATATATATATATATATATATATATATATATATATATATATATATATATATATATATATATATATATATATATATATATATATATATATATATATATATCTTTATATGTACAGCTAATTAAAATGATGTGTTTGTTTGTATGTATGTATGTATGTTTATATGTTTCGGCTGAACCGATTTTCTTGAAATTTTCACATCATATTCCTGCATGTCTGGAATAGGTAATAGGCTACTTTTTATTTCGAAATTTCAAGTGGGCGGTGAGCCACGCCCATATTAAGAAAATATAAAATCCGTATATTTTAGATAATATAACAGTTAGAGTCCTCAAATTTTGTCGGAGCCACTTTAGTGCCAATATGATCATTTAGGACAAAAAGTAGGCGGACTAGCATAAGGGGGCGTGGTACCTCCCATATAAATTAAATACAAAAATTCGTTTATCTGGGAAACTAATAGAACTAAATTCTTAAAATTTACCACGAAGGACTTTAACATCCATATGAACATTTTGGGTAATAAATTGGCGGACTACCCATGAGGGGAGCGGCACCTCCCATATTAATTAAATACAAAAATTCGTTTATCTGGGAAACTAATAGAACTAAATTCTTAAAATTTTGCACAAAGAACTTGAACATCCATGTAAACATTTTGGGTAATAAATTGGCGGACTACCCATGAGGGGAGTGGCACCTCCCATATTAATTAAAAACAAAAATTCGTTTATCTGGGAAACTAATAGAACTAAATTCTTAAAATTTTGCACGAAGAACTTTAATATTCATCTGAACATTTTTAAGAAAAAAGAGTGGACTTTCATCTGCGGGGGCTTAGAGCCCCCATATGAATAAAATAGAAAAATTCGTATATCTGAGAAACTATTAGAGCTAGAATCTTTAAATTTTACTTGAAGAACTTTGACATTCATCTGAACATTTAGAGTATAACGGGTGGACTTCCAATGGGGTACTTGGTACCTCCCATATGAATTAAATGCAAAATTTTGTTTAACTGGGAAACTAATAGAACTATATTCTTCAAATTTTAAACAAATTATTTCAATATTCATCTGAATATTTTGGAGGAAAAAGGGCGGACTTTCATCCGGGGAGCTTGAAGCCCCCACATGAATTAAATTCGTATATCTGAGAAACTATTAGAGCTAGAATCTTCAAATTTTACATGAAGAACTTTGACATTCATGTGAACATTTAGAGAATAACGGGCGGACTTTCAATGGGGCGCTTGGCACCACATACATGAATTATATACAAATATTTCATAGATAGATAGAAATTGGCGAACTTGCAATAATTTGCTTGGCATCTCTCATATGTAACATATTGTTAATCTGGAAAACTATTATAGTTAGAATTTTCAAAATCGTTAAGTGGGTTTTTTATTTAATCAGTTTAAACGGTTAAACTGATTTTCTTGAAATTTACACAATATCTTCCTGTATGTCTGGAAGGAGTTATAATTGCTTTTTATGTTGAAATTTCAAATGAGCGAGGTCCCACGTATAGAGTCCCCAAATTGTCTACAAGTAACTTTTGTTTAAATACAAATATTTTGGTCAACAATAGGGAGTTCAGCAAAAGCGGTCGTGCCACCTCCCATATGAAGTAATTATTAAAATCTGTATATCTAGAAAACTATAACAACTAGAGTCCCAAATTTTGGTGCCTCTCACGTGAAGTAATTACAAAAAATGGTATATTCTTATCTATCTATATATATAAAAGTGAATGTGTGTTTGTTTGTATGTTTGAACGTTATAGACTACTAAACGGCTGCACTGATTTTATTCAAATTTTCACAGGGTATTCCTGTATCTCTGGAATAGGTAATAGGGTACCTTTTATTTTGAAATTCCAAGTGGGCGAGGAGCCACGCCTAAATTAAGAAAATATTAAATCCGTATATTTTAGATAATATAACAGTTAGAGTCCTCAAATTTTGTCGGAGCAACTTTAGTGTCAATATAATTATTTAGGACAAAAAGTAGGCGGGCTATCATTAGGGGGCGTGGCACCTCCATATAAATTAAATACAAAAATACGCTTATCTAAACTATTACAGTTAGAATCTTCAAATTTTGCACGAAAAACATCCATCTAAACATTTTGGGTAATAAATTGGCGGACTACCCATGAGGGGAGCGGCACCTCCCATATTAAAGACAAAAATTCGTTTATCTGGAAAACTAATGGAACTAAATTCTTCAAATTTCGCACGAAGAACTTAAATATTTATCTGAACTTTTTGGAGGAAAAAAAAGCGGGCTTTCATCTGGGGGGCCTTGAAGCCCCCACATGAATCAAATAGAAAAATTCGTATATCTGAGAAACTATTAGAGCTAGAATCTTCAAATTTTACATGGAGAACTTTGAAATTCATGTGAACATTTAGAGCATAACGGGCGGACTTTCAATGGGGGGCTTGGCACCTCACATATGAATTAAATACAAAATTTCGCTTATCTGGGAAACTAATAGAACAAGATTCTTCAAATATTGAAAGAAGAACTTTATTATACATATGAACATTTTGGAGAAAAAAAGGGCGGACTTTCATCTGGGGGCTGTATGTTCCCATATGAATTAAATAAAAAATTCGTATATCTGAGAAACTATTAGAGCTAGAATCTTCAAACTCTACATGAAGATCTTTTACATGAAGATTTTGAACATTTAGAGAATAACGGGCGGACTTTCAATGGGGTCTTGGCACCCCCTATATGAATTAAATACATAATTTCGTATATCTGGGAAAATATTAGATTTTTTTTTAATTTGTCATCGATTACATTAAAATCTTAATTAACGTTCGGAAAAAATGTATCTCTGGAAAACATTAAAGTTCGAATGTTTAAAATTAATAAGAAGATTTTTTATTTATATTGCCTTTGGGGTAGCAAATCACACTGGGTATAGCTAGTATTATATATATTCTAGATACGTATTGAATTCTAAGACGATTCTGCTGCGTCCGTCTGTCTATAGAAAATAGGGTCCAAATGGGAGAAAGTAGATAGATTAAAACTACGATATATTACTTATTCAAAATAAATATACTTCTTAATTAAGTATTTAATTTCGCTTTACAGTTTTTACTCCATTGTAGCACCTGGAACCATACAGTCCCAGCATGATTATTCCGTCAGTGTCACTCTACATGAAAACACAGAGCCGGCAACAATTAAAGTTGGCATAAAAGGACCATCTTACAAAGAAGAAAAAACCATCGATATTTCACCCTCCCAAACAGAAGTAGTCAACTTTGAAATACCTAAACTACAATCAGGAACATATCAATTAGAATCGGAGGGTATTAAAGGTTTGATATTCAAAAACTCTACTGAATTGAATTTTAAAAATAAAGAACCAAAAGTCTATATACAAACTGATAAGGCGGTCTACAAACCGGGAGATTTAGTACAATATCGTATTATTGTTTTGGATGAAAATACAAGACCAGCAAAATTAGAACAACCCTTGACTGTAGGCTTTAAAGATGGCGGCGGCAACTTTGTTAAGCAAATCAAAGATATTAAACTAAACAAAGGTGTGTATACGGGTAATTTTCAATTATCTGAACAGCCAGTTTTTGGTTATTGGTTAATAGCGGTGAGTTTGGGCCCTAACGAAGATGACACGAAAACTCAAAAGTACTTTGAAGTGTCCAAATATGTTTTGCCAAAATTTAGTGTGGATATAGAGACAGTTAAAGATGTTGTTTATGGAGACCCTTTGAAAATAACGTTACGTTCCAAGTATACATATGGTAAACCGGTTAAGGGCAAAGCTATCATTACAGTAGATGCCGGCTATGACCATGCTAAGGCTGAGAAAATCATTGATGTAGATGGCAAGGGTTATGCCGAATTCGATTTGAAGAAAGATCTGAATTTGGACTTGTCCAACCCAAATAAGCATATCAGTTATTATTTATATGTGCCACCCATCACCATCTTGGCTGTCATGACCGAAGAATACACAGGCAATAAACAAAATAAAACGGCTTCGGTGAATTTACATCGTTCTCGATATATAATTGAAGTACCACAAAATGCTTATAAATATGTCATCAATAAACCATTTGAAGTGAAGGCATTTGTGAAAAATCTCGACGGAACACCCGTTCAAAATGGAAAACATGTAGCGAAACTTTCGATACGTAGAAATCATTACTATGGTCAACGATTTTCTCCTTTACCAATTGAAACTGATTTAGAGTTTACTAGTGAACTCGATAAAAATGGCATGGCCTTGTTTAAACTGACTATACCTTCGGTCGGCTACTACCATGATGTGAAAGTGACATATGCAGATCAAATTAAGTATCTAGGCCATTTTATGGGTAAAGAAGATGAGAAGAAGACTAAAGACAATGAAATTAAAGATGATGAAGAAGATGTAGGACCTCTGAAATTGGTAAAGAAAACTGAAAAGTAAGTAATGGAGCTTAGAAATATTCGTAGAAAAATTTATTATAAATTCCTCATAATTTCAGACTTCAGCTTGATCAAGATGTTGTTGTCGATGTTAAATCGAATAAATATATTCCCTACTATGTCTACGCCCTCGTGGCTCGTGGTAACATTATTAAACAAGAACACGTTAAATTACCAGAAAATGTCAAATCGCATGAACTTAAATTTAAACCCACATTTGAAATGGTACCCAAGACACATTTATATGTTTATTTTGTACTTGATGGTGATTTAAAATTTCAAGAAATTATACTTAATTTCCCCAAAGAATTTCAAAATAAGATGGAAATCACGGCACCCAAACAAGCCAAACCCAGTGAAGAGGTTACATTAAATATCAAAACTGATCCAGATTCATTTGTGGGTCTTTTGGGCGTGGACCAGAGTGTGCTATTACTACAATCTGGAAATGATTTGGATATGAGAAAAATTATTGACGATTTAAGTACGTATGATACTTCGACTCCTTATATTAGGGGTTATGGAACTTATCCGGGTAAATCATCGGGTTTGATTACCCAAACCAATGCAAATTATCCTTATTCCACTGGTAAGTTGTTTCTTTTTTAACATTTTCCTTAATTAAACCGATTATAAAGACAATATATAATGTAAATTTACTTAATCTTAAATATCACTTTCAAAGAGGAAGCATTTTACATAAGTGATTCTGAAAAATTTCCCGATATTGAAGATTTGATAATAAACCGATTTCAAAGTGAAACTGGTATAATAAAATCCGAAACTAGCAGTGATTTAAATTTAAAGATACGTAAAGAGTTTTCTGATATATGGATTTTTAAAATTATGAATAGGTTGGTTCAATCCCTACTCCGGCTATTTATACAAAATATGTAGGATAAAAACTTTATCTTTCTGGGTGTTGGTTTTACCTATGTAGATCCCAGGGCTTTAATTTTTGTATTTTTATTAAGATTTTTCTGAATAATTTTACTGATTTTAAAATATTTTTTAACTAAAATATTTTCTATATACTATTCTATTGAAATTCTTATATTAAAATTGTTATACATATGGATGTAGTTGTAGTAATTAAAACCAGAACCACTTCTTAAGTAACATCCTTAAAAGCACTTCTTTATGGAACGATTAATTGATTTTCCCCTATTCGGCTATTGGACGCTATTTTGTATGAACCAAATTTCATAAGGACCGGTCCATAATTCACCATACTTTATTGTCAATAAATCGTTCAAGGTATTCAGAGAAATTCAACAAATATTTCCGTCATTAGTTAATCGAGCTTCCCACAAAAGATCCACTTCCTAATATCATCCTAATGTTCATGGTTGTGTGTCTTCTTTTGGAATGAAAGTCACAGTTATCCATATTAATTAATCGTCTAAATTTTATAAAATGGCTCAATTGCAACAAAACGTTTAGTAACTATAAAAATAAAATAAAATTTTCAGATTATCCTCGTATCTATTATAGTAGACCAGCTTCTGGAATGGGCTTTTCAGGAGCAATGGGCTTTCCAGGACCAATGCCTCAACATGGAATAAGGGGATTCGGATTGGTTCCTCATATCCTTGATTCAGCACAACCACAATATTCAACAGCTGGCCTTCCTAGTTCCAGTATGATACCAAAAATACGTAAAGAATTTGTCGAAAATTGGATTTTTAATAATTTAGATAAGTATGAAAAATCAAAATTCCAAATGTTATGATATATGCTACTAATCTTCCAAAAAAATTGGATCTGTTTAGCATTATTTGTGCGTGTGTGTTATGTGATTGTTTTATTTTTAAGAAGATATTCATTGGGTTTAAATTTTTATTTTCAGAAGTTATTTATTAAGTTATCAATGCGCTAAATCAGAAATATTATTACATCATTAAAAAAAAAAGTGGAACTTTGATATTTTCAGACTTTTATCCCATATATGTATTTTGAAATGCCTTTGGGTTCGGATATTGTACCTTTTAATAGTGTAAGCATCACAGGAGGTTCTCTTTTTGGTATAGCACAGCCACAAGCTAGCTTTGCTGGTTCTTTTGCTGCTGCTCCTCCTCCACCTCCTACTAGTACCAGCAAAATCCGTAAAGAGTTCATACTTAGAAAACTGGATTTTTAAAAACCTAAATAAGTACGCAAAACAAAATATTTTTATTAAATTCAAATTGTCAACTTGCTAGTACAATTTATGTTAAATTTAATTCAAAATTTAGTATAATAGGTTTTTGTTTAAATTTAGAGCAAATCGGGTGGATTTATCTAATTGGGTCAGCTTAACAAAGTTTTTGTAAGAAATTCGAAAATTCATTCTGGTTTTGGGAGTAGCATTCGTAAGGTCCATTTTATCATAACAAATTAAACATATTAAAAGCACGATAGGATCTGAACGGTGGGAGTTCTAGAAAGTTAGCTTGATATTGAAAATAGGAAATAGTTAGTTCCGGTTGAAAGTACTAATCAGTAGACTGTAGACTATGGAATAGACTGTAGACTAGACTATAGACTAGAGTCTAGTCTATAGTCTAGTCTATAGTCTAGTCTAGTCTATAGTCTAGTCTATAGTCTAGTCTATAGTCTAGTCTATAATCTAGTCTATAGTCTAGTCTATAGTCTAGTCTATAGTCTAGTCTATAGTCTAGACTAGACTATAGACTAGCCTATAGTCTAGTCTATAGTCTAGTCTATAGTCTAGTCTATAGTCTAGTCTATAGTCTAGTCTATAGTCTAGTCTATAGTCTAGTCTATAGTCTAGTCTATAGTCTAGTCTATAGTCTAGTCTAGTCTATAGTCTAGTCTATAGTCTAGTCTATAGTCTAGTCTATAGTCTAGTCTATAGTCTAGTCTATAGTCTAGCCTATAGTCTAGTCTATAGTCTAGTCTATAGGCTAGTCTATAGTCTAGTCTTTAGTCTAGTCTATAGTCTAGTCTATTGTCTAGTCTATAGTGTAGTCTATAGTCTAGTCTAATAGTCTAGTCTACAGTCTAATCTAGATTAGACTGTAGACTAGACTATAAACTAGACTATAGACTAAATCAAATCTAAAACTTATAAATGAATAAAACGTGGTTTGATACGAACAATCCCCTGATTTTATTTTATTATTATGTATTTTTGTTCCTTATTGAATTTCTATGATCTTATTAAAATCTCTTATATTACAGTATATCTCACAAAACGAAAGATCATAGTAGAATCTGAAAACAGTATATTATTAGATCTTAGTCGTAATGATTCTCTTCCGGTAAGTCAGCTGCCAGTAAATATGATTAAAGGTCCTCCAAGTAATCCATCAACCATATTCGTAATACGTGAAAGTTTTATAGAATCTTGGATTTTCAACATCTTTTAAAAGTAATTATATAAGAGGTAATAAAAACCTTTTAACAGGGTTTTGCATTTAATACAGTTATATAATCAAATAACCAACTAAACATAAAATCAAGATTTCCCATTAAATTATTGAAAAAAATCTCTGTGTAGAACATAATTTGCCAAAATCGGTTGCGGTAATCATTATAATAATTGGAAAAATCTGCTTTTGCGATTCATGGATATTTTTGAACATTTATATAGCGAGAAATATGAAACAATAAATTTGTATGACTGTGACCCCAAATATTTAGCGTGGTAGCCACTTACACAATACGGTTGAAAGCATTTAGGTCTGTTTTTCAGTCTACTTCTATTGTATGTATGAGCGTATTAAAAATTGTCATAAATTGTTTCAGAGGAATACGATTTAGTTGACTTTGCATTTGTGGAAGAACTTGAAGGTGAATTACAATTTCATATATTATCAGAAGGAGGTTCAGAAACGATGCCGCAAGCTGAACAAGTCACTACGCACCTTCGTATTCGTAGCAACTTTGAAGAAGTTTGGATTTTTCATAGACCTAATAAGTAATTTCAATACATAAATTGTAATATTCTAGAGTTATTATATACTTAAATTAAACATATTCATTATAAATTCGACAGAATCGATAGTTACGAACAAAAGTTACTGACAAAATCTTTATTTAGAATTGATCGGTTATAGTGGGGGCGATTTGGTTCGTCGTCACCCTTCAGGCATTTTACAATAAAATAAATTGTTCATTTACTAAACAAACATAATCCATTTTTAACCATACAAGGGTTTATGTCTTAGATAAGCATTTAAACTCGGCTTAGATTTAAATATTTCCTAGCTCATGTTCTCTCTGAGAACTCTATATTTAGCTTATCACTACTATATATATAATTATTAACACATTTTATAACTTCTGCACGTTTTATGTCCTAAATCGTACAAATTATTGCAAAAACGTACATATCTAAAGCTTTTTGTGTTGCAAATCAATTCACGTTTAATTCACAAAATATTTTTTAAATTTAAATTAATAATATATTCTCTTTCCCCTTTCCTAATAATAATTCTCTCCCCGACAACTATGTTTAGCACCGATAAAAATGGCTTGGCTACTCTAACTAAAAAAATTCCCGATACCATTACTTCATGGGTAGTGACCGGTTTTTCTTTGAACGATAAAACTGGTTTTGGAATGGTGACAAATCCTACTAACATTGAGGTATTCCAACCTTTCTTTGTGAGCACCAATTTGCCTTATTCCGTAAAGCGGGGTGAAGTTATATCCATCCCAGTAATTATCTTCAATTACATGGATAAAGCTTTAGATGCTGAAGTTACCATGGAAAATACCGATGACGAGTACGACTTTACTGAAATTTCCAATGAAATTGAGGAATTAGTTTTGGAGGAGAAACAACGTGTTAAAAGAGTAACTGTACCCTCGAATAGTGGCAAAAGTTTATCGTTCATGATTCGTCCCAATAAGGTGGGAGAAATAACTTTGAAAATTAAGGCCATAACACCCCTGGCTGGAGATGCTATACACCAGAAACTTAAGGTAGAACCAGAAGGTGTGACAAAATATGAAAATCATGCCATTTTTATAATTCCCTCTAAAGAACCTATAAAGGAAACACTTGAGGCTGTTATACCCAAAGAAGCTGTTTTGGATTCAGAATATTTGGAATTTTCTGTAGTTGGTGATATCTTAGGTCCCACTATTAAGAATATTGATCAGCTGGTGCGCAAACCTTATGGTTGTGGTGAACAGAATATGGTTAATTTTGTGCCCGATATTTTAGTTTTACATTATTTGGATGCTATTAAACGTAATATGCCGACTGTGGTTCAAAAAGCTAAAAATTATATGGAAGTTGGTTATCAGCGTGAATTGACCTATAAACATAAAAATGGTGCTTATAGTGCTTTCGGTGAGGGTAGCAGTGAACCGAATAGTTGGCTCACTGCTTATGTGGCTCGTTCCTTTATACAGGCTAAAAAATATATTACCATTGATTCCGATGTCATTGATCAAGCATTACAATATGTAGTATCAAATCAATTGGAGAACGGACAATTTAAACAGACGGGACGTTTATTCCATCCGGCTCATCAGAACGATGTGGGTTTTACAGCTTTTGCTCTGTTGGCTCTTTTGGAAGATATGGTAAGTATTGTATAACAATAATTTTGTAATTACATGAAAGTCAGGTTCTTTAGAAAATATCTCCCCTAATAACTGATTCACAATTAACCCAAATTTTGCCTTCTATATATAATATTCTTTATTAACCCCTTTTTAATTTAGGATTATTCCAACAAATACAAATCTGAAATCGAGAAAGGTATTAAGTATCTGGTTGCTAATATTGACAAGGAAAGTGATATTTATGCCCTCGCTCTAGTAGTGGTGGTCTTAAAGAAAGTACAACATCCTAGTGCTGACAAACTTATAGAAAAACTTGAAAAATTAGCTCATGAAGAAAATGGTCTTAAATCGTGGACAAAAACATCAAAGGATCATAGCAACGATATTGAAATTACAGCATATATATTGGAAGCTTATGTATACACTGAACCAGCTGGAAAACTATTACCCATTATTAAATGGCTGATAAGTAATCGTAATAGTATGGGCGGTTTTGATTCAACGCAAGACACAGTTGTCGGTCTACAAACTCTAATCAAGTTTGCTGAAAAGTATATTCCTGGTGGAGATGGTAAAATGATGATTACTTTCGAGGCTTTAGATGGAGAGGGAAAGGAAACCACTAAAGGTAGTTTTTCAGTGGATAAGGAGAATTCATTGATCCTGCAAACTCATGTGGTAAGTTAATTAAACCTTAGAGATAACTTTACAATTTACATTATATTCCTCTTTGCAGCTTCCCAAATCCTCTCGCCAAATAACATTGGAAGCCAGTGGTGAAGGCTCATCAATGGTTCAATTATCTTATCGCTACAATTTAGCCACCAAAGATGACAAACCTAGTTTCAGTATCAAACACACAATTCAGCCCACCGATTATCCCAATCTATTACAAATGGATATTTGCGCTGATTTTGTTCCCGGAGCCAACAGTGACATAAAAGAATCTAACATGGCCATTATGGAAATATATTTACCATCTGGTTTTACCGCCGATACCGATAAGTTCGATGGCATACGTCAAGCCAATCAAGTGCAACGTATTGAAACTAAAAATTCCGATACAGCTATTATTATATATTTCGATTATCTAACGGCTGGTGAAGAGGTATGCTTCAATGTTAATGCCGAGAAGACTCATGCCGTTGCCAAGCAAAAGCCAGCCGCCATCACCATGTATGATTACTATAATTCGGATCAACGTGCCACTGTTTACTATGAAGTCAAGTCATCGTTGTGTGATATTTGTGAAGAGGGTGAATGTGGCAAAGGCTGTGAAAATAAAGAAGCCAATAAAAAGGCATAAATACTAAAAAATATTAAAGAAATAAATATTAACAATTTAATAATAAAATACTAATATGTATGTTATTTATATACATATATTCACAAACATTAATAAAAAAGGTTGAATTAGAAAAAAAAGTACTTTTTCGAGATAGTCTGCTATTTGTACTCATAACTTGTTACCTTGTGTGTTGTTACACACGGAACGACAAACTTATATATACCCTTGTTGGAGTATTAACATTCACTTTACTTTGTAAACATTAATAATTTCCTTTCTTGTGTAAATCAAGTAAACATTGTATTATATATTTTATGTACACCCTGTTGTTAAATTGAATACCGTTGTAAATTTTAACTACATTATAAATATTGTAATAAATACTCATTCCAATAAACTGAATTGAACAGAAAAGATCTTTCGTGCCATTTTTTTTAAATAACTTTAACAACCCTATATCAACACTGATGTTGGTGGAAGTTATAAAACGTATCACACACCAAATTTTCCACATTTTGATGTTATAGACCCCGTGACGGTAAACTTGTGTCTAAAATATTTTATTCTTTAATTTTACAGAAGTTGCGAAAATTTAACGTGAAGTTTTATTAAAATCGAATAATTTTTGTCTATAAACTGTGAAGGTCAAGTCATGTAATATTGGGAAATTTTCTTGAAACCATAGGGAACAATTATTTTGTTTTCCACCTAGTATAATGAAGACCCGTATTTATGCCATAAATTAAATACACATATTTTTATAATATGAATATATGAACTAAATATTCAATACCATATTTCGAGAAAATGGATGATATCGAGAAACTGATATCAGATTCTGATTTGACATCTAAAACTGTATAAAATTAGGTCAAATTGCTTTAAAAAGATTTCCCAAACCTTAATTTCTTTGGCTTGTGTTATATATGAGCATACTTATTGCTCTTTATAACAAAAATGAAAACTGTGTCCAGGTCCATCAACATTTGGTCCTTGTAACGATTCTTTGAGTTGGTAAATTCCCATGAGAACAGTGCTACCTAATAGATCGGCCGTGCTCGTCGGTGGGAGGGGTATATTATGTTCCCAATTGTCATCATATCAGAATAATAGAATCGTATACCAAAGATTTTACCTTAGGTAGCAATATAACTATAAAACAACTCATACAAATAATAAGAAAATATGTTACATGTTGACGATCTTGGTGAAGCTAAGATGGAATATGCATCACCATTCTGTCACCCACCCTCCATGCTGACAGGAAACCAATATGTTGTCAGCCCAATAAAAAAAAAAAAAATACTCTAATTTACCTCATACTTTAACTTCACCTTTCACAAATCAAAACAAGTAAGAAAGTATAGTCGGGCGTGGCCGACCATATGATACCCTACACCAGTTATGAATATTAAATGTGATTTATTTTTCATAATATCGCATTTATCTTCAATATTCCCTTGTTCCGATACATTTAAGCAATTTATGGATGAAAAACTAATTTTCTGAAAGAGGCTTTATATGGGGGCTAGGGGCAAATATGGACCAAGCCCGATAAAATTTTGTGAATATATTTATATTTACATAATATTTTATTGTGCTGAATTTCATCGCGATATTTGTGTTTATAAGTTAATTTGGGACATTCAAGTAATTTTCTGAAGGGGACTTTGTATGGGAGCTAGGGTCAAATGGGGCCCGATCTTTATGAAATTTGGCAGGGTTATCAAGACTTCTATAAAACTTAGTTATGCCGTATTTTATCGATATATCTGTATATTTAACATAATTATGAGCTCAGAAGCCCTTTTCGGGGGGTTCTATTCTATGGGGGCTAGGTGAAATAATGGACCGATTTTAACCATTTTCAATAGGCAGACAGCCAGCCAGACGGACGGACGGACGGACGGACGGACATAGCTTAATCGACTCAGAAAACGATTCTAAGCCGATTGGTATACTTTAAGGTGGGTCTAGGACGAATATTTTTATATGTTACAAACATCAGCACAAATCCAATATACCCTCCCCACTAAAGTGGTGTAGGGTATAAAAACAAATTAGTATTTCATTTTGAAAATCACACAAAAACTAATATAAAATTTATTCAATTCATGGTAAAAATAATTAAATAAAAATAGTTTTGCCGAAATGCAAAATTTTAACTACTGGTTAATAAATTTTCAAGATTCTCAAATTATAATTAAATGATGAACTTAAGGTCACCTTATTACCAATAGAAAATTTTCAGAAATGTCTATATATTTATATAATTTACAATTCAAAATTAAGCAATAAATGTAATTAGTATTAATGTGTGTAACATATTATTAATATCAACATTAAGGTAGTAAATAATTCAAAATCAAAATGTAAGATATTCGAAATGGTGATGTTAATAATATAATAGTATTTTAAACTAATATTAATGACACATATTTCATTTTCATAAATTATTTTATGAAATTATCATTAATAATAGTTAATAATTTATTATAGCCTTTTCTTTTGTATTTTTTTATATGTATGTAAGTATATAAAAAAAAGAAACTTACATTATCCAGTATCCCTCGAAGTCGACAGGCGCCAGTGGACAAAGATGAGATCTGCTACAAATTTTAATTTTCCTTTTCGTATTTATAATTATGATAGTGTATGGAAAGTTTATATGGGTGTAATTTTGAATTTACATATTATAAACAATATATATATATTTTTTTTAATTAAAAAAAAGGTGACCAAATTTTCAACAGAAATTTAACAAAATAATATTTACAAAAATGGCAAAGAAATTTAGTATTAATTAACAACAAAAAACAATATGAATTTTAAACAATTTAACGCAAACTTCAATTATAAAAAGATATGGTCACTCTAATAGATGACAAAAAACAATTTTAAATTATTTTCAGCAACCAATTTAATATGTTGAAATTTACAAATTATGTGGTCGAAGTGTTTGTCCAACGTTTTGAAGATTCCAAGATTATACTCTTAAAATTTCTTCAGTATATTGACTATATGCCATCAATTTGGATTTCCTTTGATCAAATGTTCGCTTCGATAATACAAGACCATTTGACTTAGATAAAATTTTGTCATTGGATTTTCCCCAAATCGTACTCAATTTTCCAAGGAGACTATTCCAAACCTCCAAAAGATCATAAAATATAGTTCCCCCAGAGCACCGAGGAATTTTCCTCGTGGATTCAAAAATCAGATTTTCAATTTTAGTTGGGCAATATACACCGCAATAATCTTTCCTTTCTCAGAGAAATCAGGACTAAAACAATTTCCAAAATTAAATTGTGTTCTTTTTCTTCCGTTTTTCTTTGATTCACCAATTAAAATTTCAAATTTTTTCTTCAACAAAATTGTGTCTTATCCCTTCAACAAAAATCCCGAAATCAATTTTTAAATTAAATTTGCAAGTGCCCGTGCATTTAAAACTGAATACCCTATTCTGTTGTTTTAAAAAAAACAACAAAATAGAAGTTGTTTATTTTGTTTTAATTTTTTTTCCCTTACAACTGCATTTAGAGTTGGAAAACAACCAGCCAAGTGTAGAAAGGAATGTAAGAAAAAAATAAACTCACTGTTATTGTTGGTGTTTTGTCAAAACTTTAATGTTTTGTGAAAGATGCGTTTTGAATTCTTATTGAGTTTAAAATAATTCTTTCATAAGACATTTCTAGTTTTCCTAAAATATTGGGAAAGGTTTCCTGATGAGCTGGCTTAAGCAACCGGCGAAATGCGCATAGGAACTAGCTTCCCCACCATCAATACATTACAGTGAATTTATTTAAAAATTGGGGTTGAAAGCACGATAAGAAACTCTTTAACTTATTTGAAAAAATAATGAAAATCCCGAAATCAATTTTTAAAATATAAAAAAAAAAATTTCCTTTTTTTTCAAATTTTTTTACAAATCAAAAAAATATCATAAAAATCAACGCTAACTAAATCAATAACAAAAAAATTTTCAGAAAGTAGAATTTTATACAAAAATATACTAATCAAAAACTTAATAAAATATAAATACAGGAATTTGGAAGTCGCTATCACAAAGCAGATTAAATGCAAACCATAGTACAGGATTTAATCTGAAAAAAAGCGACTATAATATGCAAAATAAAAAATATTCCAAATTAGGTCCAAATATCCTTCAAATGGTATATACTTGTGTCGCCCCCATTAACGTCCTCAAGCTCATAATTTACATTTCCTATTCGTCTTTTAACTGTAGCCTTTATTCCGACCGGTGCAAGTTTAGCATTAAAGTTATCCGCCGAGGAGCTCTGTACAAAATTTCGCCGTATAACCACCTGACCAACATTAAACTCTCGCCTACGTGATCTTAAGTTGTACGATTTCACGTTTCAATCATAGGCCTCCTTAATTTTTTTCCGTATTGAGTCCCGTAATAATGTAAAATTGTCCTGTCTTTCAATTTGTGTGTCCGTTTCTGCCAAAAGTTTTAAATTTCGTAAAATTTCATAGTCCTGTCCATGCATTACCATCGTCTGTCCAAAAACTAGTTCGTAAGGAGTGCGTCCTGTCGTCTGGTGTACACTGCTGCGAATTGCACAATTTATACTTGGCAAGTACTCGTCCCAATTCCGTTGATCGTTACTAACAAACGATCTAAGAGCCTCGTTTATGGATCGATTAACTCGCTCACTTGCGTTAGATTGTGGACTGTGGACCGCAGTAAACTGATGCTTAATGCTAAATTTGTCTAGTAAGGATCCAAATTCCCTGGACCTAAACTGACTCCCATTATCAGATATTATAATTTCGGGGACACCATAGCAGGGGAAAATGTCATTCTTTAGAAAGTCCACTATAGGTTTAGTCGTAAATTTCCTTAACGGTCTCAAAAAAGTGAATTTGCTGAAATGGTCCAAAATAATCAAAATGCCCATATTGCCATTCCTGCTACGCGGAAAAGGCCCAATAAGGTCCATATAAAGACGTTGGAATGGTCTTTCCGTGTGGACCATTTCACCCATAGGTGGTTTAAGAGATGAGGTCGGAGCTTTGGATGTCCTGCATGACTCACAATTCATCACATAATTCTTCACATCAATGACCAAACGAGGCCAATAAAAATATTGCCGAACACGATTAACAGTCTTGGCTATGCCACCATGGGCCGTGTAAGGGGTATTATGTGACGCATAAAGGATGTCACTTCGAAGTTCTTCAGGAACGAAAAGTTTCCACGATTCAGACTCATCGGTATCACCCGAGGAAAAGTTAGTTCGTTTGTAGATAAATTTACCTATTACGCGATAGTCAGGTAATTGTGAATTAGCAAATTCATTCCTCAAACGTGTATACTCGCCACTTTCGAAAGCCTTAGATTCTAGGTCAATGGATGGAAGCGTCTCCAATTCTAACTCATCTAGGTT